ACAAATTATTATCATATTTGAATTATGCGAGAGAGAGAGAGAGAGAGGATGAGAGTATAAAATCTAGATCAAAGTCTACTTAAATATTGTCATTGTTTTTACAATTTCCCGGAAAAGCATAAAGATAAAAATTATATTATGGAACATTATTACTGACAAAAATAGAGAAACTGATATTTAAAAACATTGTTTCATAATTTATATTTTTAAAATAATTATTTCAAATGAATATTTTAATATCTAGAAAAAATTTATTAATTTTATTTAATATTTTCCTAAACTTTACATCTATTTTACTGTCATTCCTATGGATTTATTATTTAAAACAAACAAATTTAACAATTAACTTATATTTTACCCATGATAACATTAACGGTATGTCATAATTATAAATAAATTAATATTAATCCTTATAATGTATTAAATTAATTTCAAATCTAGACATTAATTGGACAAAAATAAGCAAAGATAAATATTTGGAAAATTGTATGTAAACGTTATATTATATTTATAATATATTTACATTTATATATTATGCAATTCAATTAATAGGCCATTGTTTCAACATTAATAACTTGTCAAAATGCTGTACGCATTTAAAAAGTAAGTAATATACATTATTTGTATTACTTTATTTATTCATAAACTACCATGATAATTCATAAGTTGTACTGTATATATAATAGGCAGATCACTGTTGGCATCAATAATATTCATTAATATACAATTTATATCAACTATATGTGGCTTATATGGGCTACAAAGACACAGTAGAATAAGTCAGGTGATATCAATTACCTTGTTAATTATTAGTACAATAGCCCATATTATAATGTTAGGCTATGGACTTATGAACGTGGTCTATGTGTGGCTAATAGTATTACAATTTGTAATTATATTTATATTTATTAAGCACATGTTATGTTTTAATACTGATGCAAATAATAAACTATATGTAACACATTTATAATAAAAAATTTACTTATGGTTATTATAATATTTTAATTTGATGTATTTTATTAATAAAAATAATTAGCAACATCAATTTTCCTATTAAATTGCGATTAAAATTTTTTATTTATATTACTAAATCAATTAACATTTAATAATTTTGTTATAAATATATAATTTAGATAAATTACTCTCAAACTTATAATGTAATAATTTTTGAACAATAATAAGAGAAAACAATATAATCTCAAACAATACATTACATTAACATTTAAATGACATTTGGGGCGGGAATTGACAGCCAATCTGACGGATCACTTGCTGTGCGGCGTAAACACCGCTTCGGACGCACGTATCCACCGGTTTCTGGCGGACCAACTGAGCAAAGTAACCGCCGACAAACGCATCGCCCGCTCCTATCGTGTCCACGATCTCACTCTCGGGCACTACCGGTACCGGGAATTCCCAAACTTCCCTGTGCCCAGTGCTGGCCACCAGTACGGCGTCTATTCCTTGAGTGATCACTACTGTACGGCCCGTCGGACGCCGACAGGGCATGTCTGCGGCCAATCGTGTCATTTCTTTCACATCATTTGTCTATTTAAACAAATGTTGTGTTTATTTATTTGATTTTATTGTATATTTATGAGTGTATATAATGCTGTTATAAATAATATTTTGAAAAGTAACTGGTGTGAAATATAGATACTCAATATCATAAAGTATAAATTTATTAGATAAATTAAACATGACAACAATCATGTTTATAATTAGACTGTGTATCGTAAAACAATAACCCTTAAACACTGATGATTGTTTGATGATTTGGCAAACTGTTTATTATTATATAATTATAAATAATATATATCAGGATAGAATAGTTTACTTAATAGTGGATGTCACAGTTAAGGTGATATTATATAAATTGTACCATGTATAAGTTATGTCACGAATTAATTTTAAAATAATAAAGTTTAGTTAAAATAACTCCAAATTACAACTAATTCATTAATAATACTTAATTTAATATTATATGAGTTCAAGAATTGACATTATTCTATTGAAATTAAATAATAGAATGTATGTAAAACTTGTATTATATGTATTGTATTAAATGGTGTATAAAATAATAATAAATATATACCTGCCATCCATTAAGCGCCGCAAACGCCTGCACTTCGGCTTCGTTGCCAAACAATATGTCAACGTATGGGTACAGCTCTAACAGAGGTTTTGACAACTTTTGGCTAATATAAGGGGCCGATAGGTTCAGGCAAAACAATTTACCAGGTGCTTTATGAGCGTGGTGGGCTAAGTTCATAATAGACTCCGGGTCTATACCCACGTGATAGCCCGATGTATAGAAATAGCGGGCCTTTTCAACATAGTTGTAATTGTTTAACAAGTGACCTATCCGAATGTTTTGCGATGCGCCTAAATAGGCTACCAGTGCCCGTGATTTGTCGCTAATTAGACACGCGCTGGTACCGGTGCCCGTTGTCTGATCGACCATGGCCACAAAATTTACGCCCTGTCCGGATATGACCTTGGTCATTATGC